ACATCTCAATACCAGAATTCAAGTTAGATAAGAACAACATGGTATTAGCAAAAATCCAAAACAAAACAAAAAGCCCCAAGGAAACAAACAGACAAAATAGATCCATATATCCATGGAACAGAATAGAAAGTAGAAATTCCATTTGACCCAGCTATTCTGCTCCTAGGTATATTCCCAAGAGAGTTAAAATCATCATACCCAGTGATATGTGCATATTCATGTTGATACCAGCAAAATTTGTAATAACTAAATCTTGGAAACAGTCTAAATAACCATCAACAGATGAGTGGATAAAGAATGAGTTATTTGTACATAGTAAAGTACTACTCTGACGTAACAATGGATAAACTTGAGTCACTTTCAGGAAAATAGTTGCACCTTGAGACCATAATGTTAGGCAAAAATAAATATTGCATGATCTCTCTTATATAAAAACTCATTGTATATATAAAGCCCAGTGGTATCTTAGTTCACAAACATGATCCCCTTAATGATTCTGGTCACAGAAGTCATCTGTGGGTTGGTTAGATAGCTCAGCAGTCTAACTGCCCACCTGGCAAGTGCCGTGCCAACCCCAGAACCCCGGGTGCACCATGCCAGCCACTGAAACCAGGTGTGATGGTGCATACCTGTAATCCCTGCACAGGGGAGACTGAAACAGAAGGATCACTGTAAGTCCAAGCTGCATAGTGAGACCTGTACCAAATTAATTAACTAATTATAGTAAAAATTTTTTTTAAAGAAATTCATCCTGTGACACTGGTGTTTGCATAGAAAAACTTGAGTTTGTGAAACAAGTTACTACTGTATGAATGAAAGATAGATAAAGGAGAAAAAAGAAAAAGATATAATCCAATGCAAACAATTTATCTAAAAGTATACCTTGACTTAGTATGTTGACTTACGTGTTTTGTGTGTTCTTTGACCTATTATTTGGGTTTTCACTCTGTATATATGATAATTAACTTTATAAAATGTTATAAATAAATGAATCTGATACTAGAAAAATAAAAGGAGGTGGAGGGAGAAGGAAAAAGGAATGAATTGAAATATGTTATATACACATATGAATTCCTTGTTCTGAATTTCATTGTGTATATCAAACATGTACTAATAAAATTCAAGGAAAAAGAGAAGAAAGTATTGTACCTCATAAATTACTTGTACCAAAACTAAAAAGAGAAAAAGACAAAATTGAGCAAGATTTGAAAGTGAACTAGTGTGTGAAACTTTTAGGTAACTTAAAATAGAATAATCTGTTATTCTTTTCTTCTAGTCATGCACTTTTCCACTCCCCCTTTATGCAAAACCGTCCTTATTTGAGGCATCTCTACCCACTCTAACTTAATGACATAGCCATGTATTATTTGTGGACTAAATCTGACAGACTTAAGTATTAATGGAACATGTTATTTTATATTTGGTTTCTATGGGGTTTGCTCTTGGCAGCTGTTTTTTTTTTTGTTTTTTTTTTTCCCAAATCTCATTTTCTGGAGTTTAATGAGATTTGCAGGCTTAGAAACTTGTAAGACTACCAAGTTTAAATATTCATCTAGTTTCAAAAATTGGGAAACTGACAAGCTAAATAAATTTTCCAAATTATTAATTTGGTTTTCGCTGCACACTACTGAGCACTGCGCATAACATCTAGGCAAATGGTCACAGCAGACACCTTTTGCATAAAACCTTTTCTTCCATTTCTACCTCTTCCACCTGCATTGTGGTGATGCAGTGTAACCCGGGCCTGCTGCAAGTAAAATTACATTCCTGTTCTCAGTCCCTTGTACAGTTGTATTTCAGCTGAAGAAAACTTACATCATTGTGTGGAAATGATCTGACATTTGACTCATCAGTATACATTTTTGTTTTTCTAAAATATAAATGATTGGGGTCGGGGAGATGGCGCAGTAGAATAAGCGCTTCCCTGGCAAGTGCAAGGGCCTGAGTTCAATCCCTGGTTCTTCAATAAATAAATAATAAAATTAAAATGATTAAACGCATTATTTTTAATTGTTAGGTTAAACTGAAGGGGTGCCTTTTGGAAGCTATATCCTCGTGGTGTTCCTTGGGTCTTTTTGAATATTGCCTACCCCAACCCAGCCAACAGGAATAAGAACCACTTTCTGAGAAGCTGTAGACTTGTCTGAAAGTTACTGTTTCTTTCAAGAAAGTGCATATTTCCCCAAGAAGTGCGTTGGTACAGTAAGGCTACTAAATATATTTTAATAAAAAAGGTTATTTCTAAGATTGTTTCCAAAGCTGAGTGACATTTGGACTTGCAAGATTTAGACTCACTGGGGATAGTTCTTCTCTTTCATTTATTTCATAGTTCTGAATCCTTTTTTTCCCCTCCTTTAAAAGGAGACCATGCATCAGGTGAGAATCATCTCAATAAACAACCCGCTTGTTTTCCTGAATGTGAAGAAATTCCATACTGATTTAAAGAACATAATCCAAAGGGAAAATGCTGCCAGCCACCCACTTGATGATATCAGCAAGGTAGGATCTACAGTTTCATGATTAGAATTAGTGGTTATTATGGAGAAGTATACATCCTGCCCCACAAGAAATGTCTCAGGTAAGTAATACTTTCATTTAGTGTATTCACTAAGTGGATAAACTCTTGTTTATTCTATGATGCCTAATGAATGTGTATATCAGGTACCATATCTCTGAACAAATAAGATGAATTGCTTAGTTCTAAAGACCTACTTACCAAGCAACTAAATAAAAAAATACATTATACCTAACTCCTAAAGAGATAGAACATGACAAATGACTTCAGAGAAGTATAAATTATTGCCATCACTGTGACATTATAAAAGTCAGCTTTATTTCCAAGAGTAAAATCATTATCAGATATTGATTAAAATATGCATCACTGTCATTTACTGGAAATTAGCCACATATCATTATTTCATTCCTTAATTCCTCCATAATGGTAACAGACTGCTTGGGCTTGCTGCTTATCAGCTATGGGATCTCATTGGAGTCACCAAACTTTCTGCTTCAGTTTTTTCATCTTGAATCCAGATAATTAAATGAATTAATAAATTGAAAGCACTTAGAATGTAGCCTACTTAAAATTATACAATCGTAGCTCATATT